TGCTGACTGCTCTTTCTTTCTTTCTTTCTTTCTGTCTGTCTTTCTTTCTTTCTTTCTTTCTTTCTTTCTTTCTTTCTTTCTTTCTTTCTTTTTCTTTCTTTCTTTCTTTCCTTCCTTCCTTCTCTTTTTTTCCTTCCTTCCTTCTTTCTTTCTTTTTTCCTTCTTTTTCTTTCTTTCCTTCCTTTCTTCTTTCTTTATTTCTCTCTTCCTTCCTGCCTTCCTTCCTTTCCTTCCTTCCTTCCTTCTCTTTATTTCTCCCTTCCTTCCTTCCTTCCTTCCTTCCTTCCTTCCTTCCTTCCTTCCTTCCTTCCTTCTTTCTTTCTTTCTCTTCCTTCCTTTCCTTCCTTCCTCTCTTCCTCCCTCCCTCCCACCCTCTTTCTTTCTTTCTTTCTTTCTTTCCTTCCTTCCTTCCTTCCTTCCTTCCTTCCTTCCTTCCTTCCTTTCCTTCCTTCCTTCCTTCCTTCCTTCCTTCCTTCCTTCCTTCCTTATTTATAATCCATCTTTCTTATTTCGATAAATAATTCAAGGTAGCAAACCTGCCTAATACTCCTTCCTCCTTCTCTTTTTCCTCAAAACAACAACCCTATGAGGTGGGTTTGGTTGAGAGTGAGTGATTGGCTCGAAGTCACCCAGCTAGGGCGGAGCCTAGAACTCACTGCCTCATGGTGATTGGCCGAAAGTCATCCAACCGGCTTTCTTGCCTAAAGCAGGACTAGAACTCACTACCTCCTACTTCTTCAATCAACTCTCTCTCTCCCTCCCTCCCACCTTCCCTCTCTCTCTCTCAGACACACACTTCCTTGGACCTTGGACCTCCCTAAAAACCTGGTGCAAACAGTGCCCCAAGGATGCCAGCCAATTCTTAACGTTCATCTCATGCCAACTACCTCAAAAGCTAGCAAAATAAAGCAAATCACACCACATTCGTACAATCCCGTCTTGCGGTTTTAAAGTCCTATTTTTCTCATCGGGAAAAGTCATGGCTATTTTCTGCTCCAATCTATCAAATCCGGAAGCCATTTTTTTTATCGAGAATCTTGGGGGTGGCGCAGGGCTGGAAAGAGACATAATAAAATCGTTATGGCATCTGGGTTAGACCGAATGCCAAAGCTGATTGTAGAACATTTTTGAACATTTTTGAACATAATCGAATAAGGATCTTCTTGAACAAAATGATAAATGGATGCCATTCTGTTCTAATGTGCAGGTAGCGGCTAGGGCAGCTGGGGAAAAATACTGGGGGGGAAAAGGGATTGGAAAGGAAACCTGTTGGATAAAAGGCAGGATTTGTGAAGGTTCCACAGTGAAATACTAGCTAGACCAGGGGGCCTCCAACCTTGGCTGAGCAACTCTGGGAGTTGAAGTCCACAAGTCTTAAAGTTGCCAAGGTTGGAGGCCCATGAGCTAGACCATGGCTGGGGAACGATGGCCCTTTTATGACTTGTGGACTTCAACTCCCAGAATTCCTGAGCCAGCCGTGTTGAGCCAGCCCTACTCCCCCACCCCTGACCTAGACAGACTCAAGAATGAAGTTAGATTGGGGGTGGAGGGGGCTCCGCAAAGCTGGGACTCAACGAAGTTGGGAAGATGGCCATAACCATGGATCGAAGCTTCAACCCTTCAGCCATGGGTGAGTGTGACCCCAAACCTGACCTTTTTTTTTTGACCCACTTGCAGATACCTTTGGGGCAGATGAATTTTCAACACCTTTTTATAGGATGAGCTCCGTCTGACCAGAGTCTCAGAAGTTCAGGAGATCTACCACCCACCATGATTCATACCCAATAATCAAGTTCTTCATTCATGTTCTTCTGGTGTCCTTCTTGAGCATGTTCTTGATCTACCATATCTTGATGGGATGGAGCACTCTTTGATGGATGGGAGACGCGAGTGCCTGATGGGAGATGGACACCCAGGTAGGACCGGGGTTGTTGGCAGGGCACACCATCTCTATCCCTTCTTGGGGAAGGACAATCTCTCCATTGTGAACCATATTTGGATTACTGAGAAGTTCTTTGCTCAGGGCAGCCCTTGAAGAGTATCCTAACCGTCACCTGGGGCAAATTGACGTGATGCAGATGGCATACCTGATTTGAGATTGACAATTTAGAAACAGTTCCCACTTTGGTCTGAAGCTGCTGAGAACAGAAGGCCCTCAGTTTCCAACTTTTGCTTCACCTCTTTAGATGTTCTTGGACTCCACCCCAAAAAGCCTGAATGACCCTGGCTGATGGACATGGTTGGTGGAGAAGAAAACAGAAGCTGGAGGACAATAAATTCCATAAAGGGACCAAAAGGGAGGGAGGATAGATAGATAGATAGATAGATAGATAGATAGATAGATAGATAGATAGATAGACAGATAGATATAGAGATAGATAGACAGACAGATAGATATAGAGATAGATAGACAGAAAGACAGACAGACAGACAGATATAGATGATAGATAGATATAGATGATAGAAAGATAGATGATATAGATAGAAAATAGAGATAGATAGAAAATAGATAGATAGAAAGATAGATAGACAGACAGATATAGATGATAGATAGATAGATAGATGATAGAAAGATAGATGATATAGATAGAAAATAGATAGATAGAAAATAGATAGATAGAAAGATAGACAGACAGACAGATATAGATGATAGATAGATGATATAGATAGAAAATAGATAGATAGAAAATAGATAGAAGATAGATAGATAGATAGATAGATAGATAGATAGATGATAGATAGATAGATAGATAGATAGATAGATAGATAGATGATAGAAAGATAGACAGACAGACAGACATATATGTATGTGTGACTGAGAGATATATATGATACAGTGGTGGGTTTCAAAATTTTTTACTACCAGTTCTGTGGGTGTGGCAGGGGAAGGATACTATAAAATCTCCATTCCCTCCCCACTCCAGGGGAAGGTTACTGCAAAATCCCCATTCCCTCCCGATCAGATGGGACTCGGGAGGCAGAGAATAGATGGGGGGGGGGGGACAGTCAGAATTTTTACTACCGGTTCTCCAAACTACTCAAAATTTCCACTACCGGTTCTGCAGAACTGGTCAGAACCTGCTGAAACCCACCTCTGATATGATAGATAAAGAATAAATAGTGAAATTTATTTTCCAATTTATTATGGAAAAACGATTAATGCCTCAGCAACACTTTAAACCCTTTGCAGAGATTTTTAGTTTTTTTTTTTTTCCCTTATTCCCCGTTATAATTCTAAGGTGCGTGTATTGTACGTGTACACACAGGCGCGTACTCACAGCGCTTCAATTCCTCAAACACCTGAGCTTATACTGCCACCTAGCGAGCCTTCTGCCTCACATTTATGCTGGAAATTATGACTTTTAAGTCATGAACCCTTGCATCCAAATAGTCAGAAGGCAGTTCTTACTTTCCTGTTTGCTGATTTCCCGCCCACCAGTGAGTTTTGTGCATCCATCCATTATGTTCCTTCATTTTGACTGCTCTTGCTCCCCCCCCCCACCCCACCCCTACGGCAAATTTGTTAGGGCTAGTGTTTCTCAAACTTGGAGACTTTAAGATGGGTGGACTTCAACTCCCAGAATTCCCCAGCGAGCCAAGCTGGTTGGACTTTAAGATGGGTGGACTTGATGTTAGAAATTCAGTAGATATAAAGCACCACACAGAGCAAACAAAGAGTACAGTCACCATGTGCCTTACTGCTCAACTATATGACAACTATATTATAAACAGGAAACTCCACTCAGAACAAAAGAGCATAGGCTAGAGTATATACCCATAGATCCAAACTTATAAATACTGCCATCCAGTGGTGAAATCCAAATTTTTTTTACTAGCGGTTCTGTGGGCATGCCTTGATGGGCATGGTGTGGCTTGGTGGGCGTGGCAGGGGAAGGATACTGCAAAATTTAATAAATAAATAAATAAAATAAAATCTCCATTTCCTCCCCACTCCAGGGGAAAGATATTGCAAAATCCCCAATCTTTCCCCACTCCAGGGAAAGGATATTGCAAAATCTCCTTTCCCATCCCACTCTGGGGCCAGCCAGAGATGGTATTTGCCAGTTCTCAAATTACTCAAAATTTCCGCTACGGGTTCTCCAGAACCTGTCAGAACCTGCTGGATTTCACCCCTGCTGCCATCTACTGGCTGAATACTACCGTAGTTGTTGCATAGAAATATATTCCAACACTGAATTCCAACACTTCAGCTCCCAGCTTGGCTGGTTGGACTTTTAAGATGGGAGGACTTCAACTCCCAGAATTCCCCAGCCCGCCAAGCTAGCTGGACTTTAAGGTGGGTGGACTTCAACTCTCAGAATTCCCCCACCTGCCAAACTGGCTGGACATTAAAATGGATGGACCCACCCACCAAGCTAGCTGGATGTCAACTTTCAAAACTTTCAAGTTGCCATGAGCAGGAGGGAGGGAGAACTGATGGAGCTGATTGATTTCCCTAACTGAAGCTACATTCCACAGATGCTTTCTTACCCGCAATCAGTAGGAGAGTGTTGGGTTTCACAGCCAGCCAAAGTGGTTAATTGGAGAATGTGATTTATGACATGGCCAGGGAGGAGGGGAGAGACAGGGTCATAAGGGAACGTAAATCTACGTGGGATTAGTTCCAACTGCATCTGAATATTGCGGAAATGGTACTCCTAATAAATGACTGTATTACTTTTGAAGTTTGGCTCATGGCCCATGAATTAATTAGGGCATCTTTCGGAAACTTCACACTGGACTTTAAGACGGGTGGACTTCAACTCCCAGAATTCCCCAGCCAGCTTGGAATTCTGGGAGTTGAAGTCCACCCACCTTAAAGTCCCCAAGTTTGAGAAATACTGGCTTAGTGTAGTAGGGAACATTGTTGCTGCCTTTCAGAAAATTGTCAACACTTGTGTAAACCTTCTTATTATGGAAATTTCACTGTTTTTGACTTCCTTCGAAATCTCTCGGATGCCTAGGGGGAAGAAAGGCCAAAGGAACATCAAGGCAAAAAACATGGTGCTGAAATTTATTTTTCAGTTCCATTGAGTCCATCGGCAAAAATTTGTCATCAGGCCTCACCCCGGCGCTCTATCCCAAAACGATATTTTTAAACCATTTTGAAGTGTGCATAATATTATATTCTGAAGTTCCCATCGCAAAATATCCGATGCACAGGACCCTAATATACGTAGACCAGGGAGTCCTCGACTTACAACCGTTCCTTTAGTGAACAGGTCAAAGTTACAACAGTATTGAACAAACGCAAGACGCACCTTCGCTTCCCAATTGGACCCATGATCAAATGATTCGGCCACTTGGCAACAACTGGCATGGACTTACGACTGTTGCACACTGTCCTCGGATGATGGGATGGCCACCGGCAACCTTCCCGGGCTAGCTTTGCAACAAGGAAGTCCATGGAGGAAGCTGGATTCACTTAACGACTGTAAAATTCATTTAACAAGCATGGCAAAAAAAAAAGATCGTGAAATTGTCCATATTTCACTTAACAACTGCCTTGCCTAACGATGGAAATTCTGGTCCCAATTATCGTAAGTCGAGGACTACCGGAAAATGCCAGAGAATTTTACCCACAGAGGCACTAATCGTAAAGCAAAGCAAAGAAAATCAGAAATTTATCTTGAACATCATCGCATTCATTTAACACAATGTTTCTCAACCTTGGTAGCTTGATGATGGGTGGACTTCAACTCCCAGAATCCTCCAGCCAGCTCTGCTGGCTGGGGGATTCTGGGAGTTGAAGTCTACCCATCTTCAAGCTTCCAAGGTTGAGAAACACTGATTTAACACCTCATCTGTTCAGTTCATCCTTCCAAAATTAATTGTATTCATAAAGCTGTTCTTTTTCCCCGGGAGGAGATCATGCAAGCTTTTAAAAACCAACATACTTTTATTTTTAAAAGAAAACTCTTTTAGTGTTTGCAGAACAAAAGGCAAGAGAATGCAACAGTTTATGGCAATCTGTACACCCACACACACACATAATGCTTGCAGAAACCCAATTTTTTTTAAAAAAAAAAATGAAAAAGAAAGAGCCAGAAAATTAGAAAAGAAAGAAAGAAAAAGACAACTGTAAAGGGTTCCCCCCCCGCCTCTTTTTTTGCCCCTGGGGATGCTAAACCAAAAACTCTACAAACTTTTCATCCATTATAAGGTCTTTTCTGTCGAAACGGAAGAAGCGTTAAGAAAACTCGTTATGAAGAACACTGCCTGGATATCCCATCACTTTAACGGAAGAACAGAGTTGGAAGGGACCTTAGAGGTCTTCTAGTCCAACCCCCTTTGCTGGGAGGAAACCCTATCCCATGTCAGACAAACGGTATTTCTCCCTTGCTGTTTAACATGTTCTATGACCTTCCCTCTACCCTCAGCTTCCTCAACCGCTCTAGAGCGTCATTCCCATAATTTGCGTCGAGAAGGAAAAACCAGGTGGAACTTTGGGAAGGAAAAAATAAACAATGTCCACCTGATTCTTTAAAAAAAAAAAACCAAAAAAAATCCGTGTTGTACAGCCTTGCTTGGAAAGCGCTCGGAAGCCAGGCCAACCTGTGCTTGGAAAATGAAAAAGGGGAGAGAAATGCTGGTTGGGTGGAGACAAGCCGACCAGGGGTGCGTTCTAAATTTTTTTACTATCGGTTCTGTGGGCATGGCTTATTTTGTGGGCGTGGCTTGGTGGTGGGGTAATGTGACTGGGTGGGCGTGGCCAACTTTATATATATATATACATATATATATATATATATGTATATATATATATATATATATGTATATATATATACTTTTAAAAGCATTTTTTCTACAACCTTAAGAGGTTGCAGAAAAAAAATGCTTTTAAAAGCCTCTGACGATCAGGCCACTCAGCTGGGATCGTCAGAGGCTTTTAAAGGCATTTTTTTCCCTACAATCTCTTCGGCAGAAGAGGTTGCAGAAAAAAATGCTTTTAGAAGCCTCGGACGATCCCAGGTGAGCCGCGCGATCATCAGAGGCTATTTTTTTTAAAAAAAAAATTTAAAAGCATTTTTTCGGCCGAAGAGGTTGTAGGAAAAAATGCTTTTAAAAGCCTCTGACGATCCCAGCTGAGCCCCGCGATCATCAGAGGCTTTTTTTTTTTAACTTTTAAAAGCATTTTTTCAGCCAAAGAGGTTGTAGAAAAAAATGCTTTTAAAAGTAAAAAAAAAAGAAAAAAAGCCTCTTGATGAGGTGGGTGGGGTAAGCGAGCGTCGAACGGGCTGGGGACCGGTTTGGGGGCGTGGCCAGCCAATGTTATTACCGGTTCTCCGAACTACTACAAATTTTTACTACCGGTTCTTGCGAACCGGTGCGAACCGGGAGCAACTCACCACTGAAGCCGACATCGATCCCACCAGCGAGCGAGTGAATGTGCAACAGCACGACTGGCCGAAGGATTTCGCACGCAGGTCATTGTGCAAAGAATTCTTGGGAAATTCAGTGGGATGGCTCTTCTCTGTCTAGTGCAGATGTGAGGGGCATCCATGGCTTTTCTCAGTACCCCCCCATTTTTTTTAAAAAAAAAAAGAAACAACAAGCAAGCATTCGAGACAGAAGAGTGAAAGCAGGCCAGTTTCTACATTTGGCCATTTTTCAGAGAGGCTGAATTGAGCGGCCCAAAGGGACATTAAATCTGCAAGCCGTCAACCTTTTATCCTTCCCTTTCTCATTCAGAAAAATTTAGATTTTTTTTTCTACCCCGCTTTTATAAGTAACTCAAGGCAGCGAATAGATAGAATGCTCTTTCCTCCTCCTATTTTCCACTGAAATAGGGCTGAAAAAAAGGGATTGGCCCAACGTCACCCAGCCGGCTTCCATGGCTAAGGGGACACTAGAATTCACCGTCACCTGGTGACTGGCCCAAAGTCACTCGGCTGGATTTCGTGCCTAAAATGAAATTAGAACTCACAATCGCCTGGTGTTCGGCTCAATATCACCCAGCTGGCTTTCGTGTCTAAGGCAGGACTAGAACTCCCCATCACCTGGTGACTGACCCAAAGTCACCGAGTCAGCTTTCTTACCCAAAGTGGGACTAGAACTCCACCAGCACCTGGAGATTGGTCCAAAGTGACTCAGCCAGATCTTGTGCCTAAGGCGAGACTAGAACTCACAGCCTCCTGGTGATTGGCCAGCACCTTAACCACTACACCAAACTGGCTATCTTGCTAGCCTCTCGTTCACCTTCCTCCATCGTTGTTGGAATACTGTCCTTTCTTTGCACAGCTACCCTGTTTCGTGTTTCAGCCTTGTCCTCCCTGGAAGGAAAGGATACGGCCTTTTAGACCTGTTTGGAAGGGGCATTATGGACTGTTTCTCTGATCAAACCTGGATTATTCCCACGCTTGGCACGGAGGCAACAACGGGGCTGTCGGACGAGCGAAGGTTTATACCTTGAATGCGTGTGCAATGGCAGAGATTTCGAGAAATTGGAACCAGGGACCTCCATACTGGATCTGATGCCCTGATCACCCAAATCAAATAAGCTCCCTTGTGCTATTATAGTATAAGCTCTGATGCATTTGTGCGTGCACACAGTGCCCGTGGCACGGGTACAAAAGAGAAAGGTCTTACTTCGGAAAACAGGTCAATGAAGCTTTCGTCACTAAACGATCGTCCCACAGGACAATTCGCTTGAAGCAAATTCTTAAGTTTCTCTAACTTGGCCACTTCAAAATTTGTGGACTTCAAGAATTCCAGGAATTGAAGTCCACATATCTTGAAGTCGATGAGGTGGAAAAACATGGTTCTAGAAATTCCACTTCTTCTGCTGCCTCCTCTTCCTCCATCTCCTTTCAGCATTCATCTTTAGAAGGACGGTTTCCATCACCCTAGAAAAATATTATTACAAACGGAAAAATTTTCTCTCTCTTGTTTTTTCCCCACGAGAGAGAGAGAGAAAAAAACCCCACACCTCACATGTGCCCATAACTTAGAGCAGGGCTGGCTGGGGGATTCTGGGAGTTGAAGTTCAGACAACTTCAAATTGCAAAAGTTGAGCCACAATGGCCTTAAATTTCTGGCTCTCTGACCTACCAAACCCTGAAGATAATCGAGTGCTGTAATCAGAAATCTGCTCTTGGACCATCCCTCCTAGAAGACCTGAATAGACCTCTGACTCAGAAGATCCATCTGTCTGCCCCCCCCCTCCCCAATGCCTCTGTTCCCTTTAATCTGCAGAAGTCAACAAAGGCAGAATTGGGGCCTCTGAAGGACCTCAACCAAGTCTTCTAGAGAAGCAAAGCCAAGGATGAATTGCAGAAGTTGTACTAGGACAGGGGTCGGCAACCCGCAGCTCTGGAGCCGCATGTGGCTCTTTCATCCCTCTGCTGCGGCTCCACAATTGATAGGGCTTTTGGTTAGGACAGGTAGAGGAAAAAGGACGCCAGGCTAGGAGGAGACTCTATGGTGGACGCCAGGCTAGGAGGAGACTCTATGGTGGGGGAACCGGACTTCCGGTCAGCTCCAAAATTGAACGGTGGGTTACCGGTTAGGACCTTTGTGGCTCTTTGAGTGTTTAAGGTTGCCGACCCCTGTAGTAGGCACTCTAGCTTGGTTGGTTATGCCTAAAGAGAGTTGTCCATGGTCCTGAACAAAGCTTCGTTTTTCACCTCATCTAACTTCTGCCTAGAAAAGCTGGGGGTGGTGATACCTTCTACTCAATCCTCCAAGCTCCAACCTCACAAATCAAGCTCTCCCGCTATTGGTTTCAAGACGAACGAAATGTCGTCCTCTTCTCCCATCCTCAGAACATCTCTAAAAGCTTGACTTCCAGGTTCTTCTGTCTCCTATTGGCATGCAAGCGGCCCTACCTCTAAACGGCATCAGTGTGCAAAGGAGTTGACCTAAATGTACACCTAGGTTCAACGTTTGGTCCAAGGCAAATGTTGACCCAGGAAAAGAAATCTACGAACACTGGACCACACAGGCTGGAGAGGTGGACAGATGTTGCTCCAGATGGCACTCCTGAAATTCTGGCTCCATTCAGGTGCATTCACGTCCCACCTTGGCAGAAATCCACCACGGTTCATTCCAAGTCCGGTTCTAGCATTTCTAATGCATGGAAATCCCTGCTTAGACCTTACTAGACCCCCACATTACGCTGATAGCATTAGACAACAATGGGATCACAACCCCACCCCTGCATCAGGCCATGAGGGTGTGAGAACCCGAGCAAAGATTCACTCATCCCAGCTGCCATCTTCGCTGCCGTTGGTCCAACATGCCATCCAGCTATGGGTCATTGGCTTCTAGGGAGAAAGGAAGGAGTCTTCGAGGAAGTGGACATAAATAGAGGAGCAGAAGAAAGCACCCCGTCTTACACGGGGTACATCAACCGAGGGGTGTGTGTGCAATCTTCCCAGGAACATGGGGACCAAGGAGGAACATGGTTTCTTGAACCCCTTTGTCCAACAGAGCAGAAGACTGGAAAGCTGTAACTTCCACAGAAGCGTATTTCCCAGTACCCATAAACCCAGCAAGATCCCGCAACTGACTCTCTGTTTTCCTGCCCTCAGGATCGGAACTGGGGAAGGGGCTTGTATTGAGGCCAAATACATCTCCCTTTGTTGTCCCTACGAATTGAGACAGATACAACTGGTCCATCTTCTCCAGATCTGATTTCACTCCAGCTTTAGACCCTAAGAAAGTGTTCAGAGGCAGGAGAGATGTCGTAACACATCTTATTTTGCTTCGGACGCAGATCTCCTTCAACCTGTCTTCCTCCCGAGTTTTATGAGCCACACCGGCCTCAAAAAGAGAGTTAAGAGAAAGATCTGTTTCCAATTCCTTCCGTAGGCGCGTGTGCTGGATCCAGGCCGAGGGTACCAGCTTGAAGAAAACGATACAGCCACAGGAAGACACTTTAGGAGAAGCACAACGAGGTTCCTTGGGAGGGTCGAAGGATCGTGTAGCAATGGGGGCAGGGGGTTTAACACAGGTGCCTGCTTCAATCCTCTGGGTTTGCACCCCTAGTCTCAGTGAGCGGGAGAGACCCCGAGATTGGAACGGACCAGAGTCCCTTGCTAGAGGCAAGCAAGAAGGAAGAAGAAGTTCTCCCAGTTGGAGAACAAGAGTTGCCCAACCATCAGAAGATGCCTGAAAATGTCGTCGGTCAAAACGGACAGGCGTGTAGAAGGACGTCTTCCGTCGAGATCCATCTTCCATCTTAGATGGGGAGGGGGGGGGCGTCCTTCAGAAGCCCTTGATGTGGCAGTAGGCCTCCAGGCCGGCAAAGAGGATGTAGATCAGCCAGAGGCCCACGAAGAGGCAGGTGGTCAGGATTTTGGCGGTTTGGGGACCCCCCAGCTCTCCCCCTATGGGCGGCCGGCGGCGGTACATGAGGACGCTGATACAAACGAAGGCAAAGATGGTGAAGAGGGTGACGGAGAAAGCCAGGGTGCCCGTCTGCACCTCAAAGTTTTTGCCTTGGAAAGCCCAGTAGATGGCCGCCACGGACCAGGCCACCCCCAAGCCCAGGAAGACGTTGACTGCGTTGCTGCCCGTCACGTTGCCGATAGACGCATCCGCGCACTGGTCCTGCAAGGCGGCCACTTTGCTGGCAAAGGTATCTGCGGAAAGAGGAAAGCGTTGAAGCATGTACAACAGGGGTGTCGAACTCAAAGGCTCGCGGGCCGGATCCAGCCTATGATGTGGTTGGATCTCGTCCGCGGGGACGGCCTGGTCTACCCAGTGTGAAAAGGAAAGATCGGGCCAGCCTGGCTTCGGCCCGGTCTACCCAATGCAAATAGGAAACATGCCAGCTGTTTGAGGATTGGCGTCAAGCTGGCCACGCCCACCCAGTCGGGCACCCGTGGCCGGTCCCCCGAGGTCAACCACAACCGTGATGCGGCCCTCAATGAAATTGAGTTTGAGACTCCTGATGTACAAACTCAGGATAACCAGCCAGCCACCGACTAAATCTCAACTGTTGATATAGGTCAGTGTTTCCCAAACTTGACCCTTTGAAGATGTATGGACTTCAACTCCCAGAATTCCTCAACCAGGCATACTGGTTGGGGAATTCTGGGAATTGAAGTCCATGCATCTTAAAATAGCCAAGTTTGGGAAACACTGATACAGGTAGTCCTTAGACTTACCACAGTTCGTTTAGTGACCGTTCGAGGTGACCTTGGCACTGAACAAAGGGACCGAGGACCGTTTTTCACCCTTACGACCGTTGCCCCATTCCCCACGTTGTCACGTGATTTACACGCTCAACAACGTGGTTCATCTTTGTGACAGTCGCAGTGTCCCGAGGGGTCCCCTTTTGATCAGCTAAATCAACGGGGGGGGGAGCCAGGTTCACTTAATGACTGTGTGACTCACTTCGCAACTTCAGGGACTCGCCCACCCAGCACGTCCAACCAGTGAACCGGTTATTAAATTATTTGAATCCCACCACTAGCTGTATTCATGTCTTCATTCTTCCTCCTGCTGCTTAATGACCATGTGATTCACTTTACGACTGCCCTAAAACAGTTGTAAAATCGACACAGGGTGCCTCGACCGACAACCGTAATGCCTTACGACCAAAATTCCGTGGCGGTCGTAAGTCAAGGACCACCGGAAGTGGCCGACTGGGCTAAGGGTCTTGTTGCGAAGAGGGCAGGTTGGGTAGCAGCGCACCTGGGATGGAGGTGCCCAAGGCCACAAAGACGACCGCGTTCACAGAGTCCTTGAGCCCCACGGTGCAGCCGAAGTGGGAGGCCAGGTCGCCGATCAGGGCGGTCAGCATGCCGATGACCAGGATGCTAACACTGAAGCAGGCCCAGCCGTTCCAGTACTCGGTGGGCGGCACGCAGGCGAAGAGAACCTTCCAGAAGACGGTCAGGAAATGCATGACGTAGTCGAAGCAAGATGGCAGCCTCTCCTCCCTCCCGTCTTCATCCTCATCTTCGACACCTAGGAAGAAGAATACCTGAGTGAGGCGTTCAGCACAGACAGGACAAGGTGGGCAGAAAAAGATGGGTAGGGAGTTGAGACCGGAAGATGGACAGTGGGGTAAAACAGGACCTTCCCAGGGGTGGGCGGCTGGGGGTTCGCTGGGGTTCGGGAGAATCTCTAGCTAAGTTTCTGTGCAGTTCGGAGAACCCCCAAATCTCATTCCTGTCCAGCAGGTTCTGACAGCTTCTGGAGAACCGGTGGCGGAAATTTTGAGTAGTTCGGAGAACCGGCAAATACCACCTCTGGCTGGCCCCAGTGGGGTGGGAATGGGGATTTTGCAGTATCCTTCCCCTAGGGTGGGAATGGGGATTTTGCAGTATCCTTCCCCTGGAGTGGAGAGGGAATGGGGATTTTGCAGTATCCTTTCCCTGGAGTGGAGAGGGAATGGGGTTTTTGCAGTATCCTTCCCCTGGAGTGGGGTGGGAATGGGGATTTTGCAGTATCCTTCCCTTGGAGTGGAGAGGGAATGGGGATTTTGCAGTATCCTCCCCTGGAGTGGAGAGGGAATGGGGATTTTGCAGTATCCTTCCCCTGGAGTGGGGTGGGAATGGGGATTTTGCAGTATCCTTTCCCTGGAGTGGAGAGGGAATGGGGATTTTGCAGTATCCTTCCCCTGGAGTGGAGAGGGAATGGGGATTTTGCAGTATCCTTCCCCTGGAGTGGGGTGGGAATGGGGATTTTGCAGTATCCTTCCCCTGCCATGCCCACCAAGCCACGCCCACAGAACCGGTAGTAAAAAAAAAAAAAATTGGATTTCACCGCTGCGCACCTTGCAATGCAACCGGCTGTTCCCAGGGTCCTTTTTCTTACACCAAAACTAGTGAAATCGAAAAACCAGGCCGAGGGATGGGTGACAAAGAGCTGAATATCCAGGTACGTGACCAGAGAATACAGGCAAAGCTTTTGACCGGAGCCAAAATATGGCCAAGAAAGAAAAAAACAAGTTCTACATTTCTGTCATGTTGGATGTTGACCAATAGAGGGCGCCCTGGCCTTGCAAGAACCTCAGCGCCCAATAGGAGGCTTTTTTGTATCCCTGTCCATTGAGGAGGGGGGGGGGAGATAAGAGGAGAAATAAGGACCCCCCCCCCAAAGGGGTTCAACTCCAGCCCCTATTACATCCTCCTATTAGTCCAGGAAGGATCCAAGTTGTGCAGGAATTTATGCTGGCGTATGGTCAGAGTCGATGAGCACACATTTCAGCAGTTTTTCAGGCCATTCTATCCATTTTATTTACAATTTGGCTTACAGAAACGGTCAAGATTTTCTCCTTTGGAAGCTGAACAGAAAGGGGTACTGATACTTGGGGAACTTTGGGAGAGGGGGGGAAAAACTCTTGAAAATGCCACGAAGAAACAGAAAAAAAGGAACAAATGCACAATCATTGCACAATCAGTCCGGAGTTCTCCTTCGAGGCACGAAGGACCAGGCACAAATTGTCCTATATTGGATGCATAGGATGAAGACCAAAGGGAAGGAGGGAGGAGGAGGAGAGGGAGGGAGGAGGAGGGCGAGGAGAAGAAAGAAGGGGGAAGGAGGAGGAGGAGAGGGAGGAGAAGGAAGAAGGGAGGAGAAGGAGGAGGGAGGAGGAAGGAGGAGGAGGGAGAGGAGGAGGAGGAGGAGGAGGAGGAGGAGGAGGAGGAGGAGGAGGAGGAGGAGAAGGAGAAGAAGAAGAGCGAGGAGGAAGAGGAGGAGGAGGAGAAGAAGAACAAGAACAAGAGGGAGGATGGGGAGGAGGAGGAGGGAAAAAAAGGAGAAGGAGAAGGAGGAGGAGGAGGAGGAGAAGAAGAAGAAGAAGGAGAAGGAGAAGGAGAAGGAGAAGGAGAAGGAGAAGGAGAAGGAGAAGGAGAAGGAGAAGGAGAAGTCCAATGTGGGAAGGCAGATTTGCTTAACGACCACACAATTCATTTAACAGACTGCAGTGGTTTGTTTACCCATGGCACAAATGGTCATAAAATCAACCCCTGGCCCACTTAACAACTTGCCTTGCTTAGCAATAGAAATTCTGGCCTGGAGAATACCCGTATTGACGTCCGAAACAGCCAGAAGGATGGCAGCCCATCCCAAGGTTGACTTTTTTTTGGGGGCCTCCTTATATCGGCGTTTGCAGAAAGGGAAATTCACAGCCGGAGGCGGCCTAATCGAATAACACAACATGTCTTTTATCTCCAAAGCTTATTCATTCCAACTTTGGAAAAGGGGGGGGGGGGGGAGGAGAGAGAGAGAGACAAGAAAAAGGGGCACCATTGTCTTTTCACGTGAATTCTGCGTTCGGAGAAAGACGGTTCCCGGAGACAGAGGTGCTCATATGAGGGTGTGTAAGACAGTTTGTGTGTGTGTGTATGCGTGTGTGTGTGTGTGTGTGTGTGCGTGTGCGTGCATGCCAGGGGTGGTATTCACTTACCTTCGCTACCGGTTCGCAAATGTGAGTGCGTGCAAGGCGTCAAAAACGGGACGTGATGACATTCGGGCGCTACCGGTTTGCCCGAACCGGATAAAACCGGTTGAATGACACCACTGGTGTGCATGCATGCACACGTCAGGCAGAGCACAGGAGCCAGCATTTCCTTAGCAGGGAGTAAAGGGTGACATATGGCCATCAGCCATTCTGGCTGGCTCGCTCCTTTGTGGATCACCAGGATTTGCTAAGATAGCTAAACGCTCTCACCAAAATAATCCCGGTCTGTTCTTTCTGCAGTGCAGATTTCTCTCGTCCTGGAGGAGGACAAATAATGGACTTGATAACATGAACTCAGTCCATTTCAACTTCAACGGAAGCCTTCTTTTTTAGACCCTCATGCCCCCGTCATCTCTTGTATGGACTATCGCAATGCGCTCTACGTGGGGCTGCCCTTGAAGAGTATCCGGAAGTGGTACAGAATTGCGGCCGCATGATTTAAAAAAATATATATATATTTTGTTTTGCTCTTTTAATTTGTTGTACCAGTTCTTCTTTTTCCATGATATTTAACTTATGTTTAATTATTTCCATTTGATTTTTTTTAGATTCGCCTTTTGTGGTTCTTTTATGTCTTTTATGCTGTTCTTCGAGTGTCTTTTGGTATTGTTTCTTTCTCTTATTTTTCCTCACTATATAGGTTATAGCTAGTCCCCTGATAGATGCTTTCACTGTATCCCAAATGTTTTGTAGTGAAGTCTCCCCTTTCCTGTTCTCTCTCTTTTTTTAAAAAAAAAATCCCATTTCCTTTTCTATCATCTGCATAAATTCTTTGTCGGTTAGTCTAGATCAGTGATGGTGAACCTTTTCGGTACCGAGTACCCAAACCAGAACACACATGTCAACTCGCAAAGCATCCCTGGCCACGGGCGATGGGAAACCCCGAAATGGCATGGCAGCCAAAGACAGATGCACATTCCAGACTTCTCTCTCTCAAGGCTGTATCCCAGGGTTACCCACAGCAACCGGAGGGGAGTGACCTCTACAACCTGTGAAATTGCTCCAGTTGGCAAATGTGATTGATAACACACTCTGGGGGGGGAGGGGGGTAAACAGGGTCATGATTGGGGTAGGGTAAATTACGTAGGGTCAGAGCTGACTTCACTTGGGAACGTGCCGACCTGAAGTCTGCCTATCTTAAAGCTTGCTGGCTGGGGAATTCTGGGAGTTGAAGTCCACCCATCTTCAATCAGTCAAGGTGAGGCTCTCTGCAATACCGACTGCAAAGGGTTTTGTATCCCAGCATTTGTCTCCTTGCTTCCTGGCAGCTTCATTTCGTGGCGCAGATTTCCCTAAGGTGCCGTCTCTCAATCCTTCCAAGGCAGCTAGTTCCAGTGGGGGAGTGGTAGTGTGTGTGCGTGTGTGTGTGTGTGAGTTTGGGGGGGGGGTGTCACTTACCTGCACTCACAGTGATGGCCTCCAGGAACTGCTCCCGCCAGGAGTGTGTGCCGATCACCAGCGCCAAATTGGTCTTCTTGATGAGTTTGTCCACTGTGTTCTGTGGCAGAAACAGACCTTCTTGTATTTTTTGCATTTTTGTATTTTATTGAATTTGTATACCGCCCTACTCCCGAAGGACTCAGGGCGGTGAACAGCCATAGAATAAAACATATAAATACAAAATTTAAAATAAAATAAAACCAATTAAACAATTGTTGCTGAACAAATTTAAAAACCCCAATAATTTAAAAACAAATTTAAAATTTCCATTTAAAAGGGGAGAAGATTTAGGCCAAGCCAGCTTGATGAAATAAGAAAGTCTTGAGCGCGTGACGGAAGGTACGCAGATCCGGGATCCTCCGTATCTCCGGGGGGAGCTCGTTCCAGATCGTAGGTGCCCCCACAGAGAAGGCTCTCCCCCTGGGGGCCGCCAGTCGACATTGTTTGGCTGACGGCACCTGGAGGAGCCCCCCTCTATGGGAGCGTACCGGTCGGTGGGAGGCTATTGGTGGTAGCAGGCGGTCCCGTAGATAACCAGGTCCTAAGCCATGGAGCGCTCTAAAGGTGATAACCAAAACCTTGAAGCGCATTCTTAACCCTTGGAGGTTGAAAATCTGCCTGGATTTGGATCAGGGGACTGCAAGGATACTGCAACGGTCGTTAAGTGTGAAAAATGATTATAAGATACTCTCTGCACTATCATTGTAACTTTAAGCCTTCACTAAATGAACGCTTGTAAGTCGGGGACTTGTATGTGTTGTCATGCGGTTGGTAGTTTACTTTACTTTGGCAAGATTCTGTCTATCGGTGCGGAACTGTAAAGAAATCTCCTTGGTAGGTTCACCGTGTGACTTTCTTCGTTTTGGGGGGAGCCCTGACAAGTTACCTCTCTATTCAGCATCCGGCAAGCATCAATGTAGGAGGGTGGCACGGGGAGATGTCACACCACTTCCCAGAAGAAAGCTGCAGCCTTCTCGTGTCGTTCCCTGGGGGGGTCTTGAAAATCCCTGCAGGTTTTCTATGTACATCTCCCCAGAACAGCAGCCCCCCCCCCCACAGGGATATTCTCAGCCCCGGAGGAATCAGACTGAAGGTACCAACTGAGGCAGGGAGAGGCACTCCGCACAACGTCCAGAGGGAGCCCCACGTTCAGCGAACAGTCATAATAGCGATAATCATAATCATAATATTACGTTATTCTTAAAGGAGCCGTCGGTGGTCGCGGTGAGCAAATCAGTTTGGTTTCAGTTTTGATCGGAACACTTTTCGTGTTTGCAGATCGATGGGTTTGATTTTTTTTCTTTTGATTTCTCATTCCCCATTCATTCTAGGTCATTCATTAGATTAATCAACTTTTGTTTTTTTAAAAAAGTTTGCATTAAAATGTATTTACGAGACCGCCTTCTGCTACCAATAGCCTCTCACCAACCAGTACGCTCCCATAGAGAGGGGCTTCTCAGGGTGCCGTCGGCCAAACAGTGTCGACTGGCGGCCCCCAGGGGGAGAGTCTTCTCTGTGGGGGCACCCACCATCTGAAACGAGCTTCCCCCCGGAGATATGGAGGATCCTGGATCTGCGCACATTTCGTCGTGCTCTCAAAGCATTTTTATTTCAGCAGGCTGGCCTGGCCTAACTCTCCCTTTTAAATTTTTAAATTGTTTAATCTGTTTTACAAATTGGATGTTTTAAATTTGTTTCGGCCAAAATATTTAATAATTTTAATGGACTTTTAATGTTTGTATTATCTGTATTTTATCTTGGCTGTTCACCGCTCTGAGTTGATAATAAATATATATATATATATATATATATATATATATATATATATATATATAAATATATAAATAAATTGCTGTGCAATTTTGCAAAGCCAGGATAATGCATCACTCAATCATTGGTACACAGTTTTCTCTAGTCTGTCTGCCATCCATCCATCCATCCATCCATCCATATCTGTCTGTGTCTGTCTGTCTGTCTGTCTTTCTGTCTGTCTGTCTGTCTGTCTGTCTGTCTCTATCTATCTATCTATCTATCTATCTATCTATCTATCTAATTCATTCATCATTCGTATTTGTCTGTCTGTCTGTGCGTCTGTCTATCCATTCCCTCATTTATCCATCATCTGTCTATCTATCATCTACCTGTCTTATATTTATCTATTTTAGAATAACAGAGTTGGAAGGGACCTTGGAGGTCTTCTAGTCCAACCCCCTGCTTAGGCAGGAAACCCTCCACCACTTCAGACAAACCAACCTCTTCTTTAAAACTTCTTCTTTAGAACTTGTGTGTGTTGGAGCACACACAAGTTCAGGAGGCAAGTTGTTCCACTGATTAACTGTTCACACTGTCAGGAAATTTCTCCTGAGTTCTATTTTTATTCTCTCCCTCTCTCTCCCATCCATCCATCTATCCCTGAGCTTAAGTTTAAATTGTCCAAAACTGCACAGATAATTTTTTTTCCTTCAGACTCGAACTGGACTCCTCCACCGTCTCTCGCTTGAAGTGAAGGGAACCAGCCCAGAATTGGTGCCCTGCTCCTTACCTTGAAATCATAGGACTCTTCGATGATGACCTCCAGGCGGGAGTTCTCGCCCAGGATGGGTTTGCCCATCTCCGCAATCCGCCAGGCCTCCTCCTCCTCGGCGGAGAGTTTCTTGTCACCGTCGGCTAAGTAAAAAAGAAATAACATCACCCAACATCTTGATTGGACTGGATGATTATTTTACTCAAGTGTATTCCAATCTTCCTTCCCTTTTTTTTTTTCATCACAACAATCCTGTGAGGTAGGCTGTGCCTGTGCCAACGTCAGCTGGCTGAACTGGAATTCAAATCTAGAGCTCTCCGGTCCTAATTTACTCTGGAGTTTATTTTATTTTATTTTATTTTTGTTTTTTGGTCTATTTTCTAACTAGATAGAGATACACTGCTCCTAAATAGGGAAGATCCATTTAGAATAAATCACGCTTGATCAGGGTTGGTATTCGCTTATCTTCGCTACTGGTTCGCAAATGTGAACTCGGGTCACAAATGCAGTTCGCAAATGCGCTCGCTTAGCTCACTCGCACCACCTTGTCAAAAACGTGTCAAAATGGGATGGGATGACATCCAGACAGGTGGGCGGAGCCTCCCGCAGCCGTCGCTACCAATTCGCCCGAACCGGATGGAACCGGCTGAATACCACCACTGCGCTTGATGTCTTCCCTCGTTCTCATGCTGGTTGGGAATTCTGGAAATTGAAGTCCACCAGTCTTAAAAGAGGTCAAGATCGGAGAGCCTTGTTTTCGAGCACTTTTCCTGGATTGTGTGATGAAACGGCGTTCTTTATTTTTCTTAGTTTATCTTATGCTTGGGCAGAAGTGAGAGCTAGGCAGAACCTCAATCTTCCCCCGCAAAAAAAATCAGAAGAAAAAAAATATTAAAATTTATTGAGAATTTATTCCATCGTCAAGTTTCCCTCCACCATCCCAAGATCTATAATATTTCTCAAATTCAGCAGCTGTTAAGCTGGGCGGATTTTAACTCCCAGAATTCCATGGCTGGCTGGGGAATTCTGGGAGTTGAAGTCCAGGCAGATTAAAGTAGCTGAGGTTGACTGGTCTAGAGACTGGAAAAAAGGAATCTAATACAGGGGTGAAATGTTCCCGATTCAGACTGGATCACCTGATCTGGTAGCGATGGCGGCGGGTGGTTCGGAGAACCGGTAGCAAAAATCCCTGCGCCCCCTCCCCGCCATGCCCAGCTGAGCTGCGTGATCATCAGAGTCTTTTTTTTATACTTTTAAAAGCATTTTTTCTACAACCTCTTCGGCCGAAAAAAATGCTTTTAAAAGGGAGGGGGGGGAAGAAAAAATGCTTTTAAAAGCCTCTGACGATCCCAGCTGAGTTGCCTGATTGTCAGAGGCTTTTAAAAACATTTTTTCCCCCCTGCAATCTCTTCGTCTGAGATTGCAGGAATAAATTCTCTTCGTATGCTACCACTTCGAAAACCCCCAAAGGAACACAGATGTCCTCTGAATTTTTCAGCGAGCCAGGAACAGGAACAACCGAGAACGAGGTGGGGGGGGGGGGAGAGGATGTCATTTTTGCTCTGAGCAACTGGGGACATTTAATAGATCCTGGGGAAGACAGAGACCAGGCTCAAAAGGCAGTCGTATCTCGGCTTGCAAAACTGGCGGAGATTTAACAGAACAGATTTACCAAGAGCCTTGGTAGTACAGGGGTTTAAGGCACCCTGCTATTAAGCTGGTTATTAAGACCAGCTGCCTGCAATTACTGCAGGATTCGAATCTCGCCAAGGCTCAAGGTTGACTCAGCCTTCCATCCTTTCTAAGGTAGGTGAAATGAGGACCCAGTTTGTGGGGGCAATAAGCTGACTTTGTATAAATATACAAAAGGATGAAGGCTATTGCTGAGCACATTGTAAGCCGCCCTGAGTCTTCGGAGAAGGCGGCATATAAATCAAATTTAAAAAAAAAAAAAAAACATCGTTGGAAGGGACTTCGGAGGTCTTCTAGTCCAACCCCCTGCTCAGGCAGGAAACCCTATATACCATTTCAGACAAATGGTTGTCCAATCTCTTCTTAAAAACCTCCAGTGATGGAGCACCCACAACGTCTGGTGGCAAGTAGTTCCACTGACGAATTGTTCTCACTGTCAAGAAATTCCTCCTTAGTTCCAGGTTGCTTCTTCTCCTTGATTAGTTTCCATCCGTTGCTTCTTGACCTGTCTTTTAGGTGCTTTGGGTGCTTTGCTTGACCCCCTCCTCTTCCTTGTGGCAGCCGCTGAAATATTGGAAGGCTGCTATCGTGCCCCCCCGCCCCACCTTAATCCTTCTTTTCTAGGCTTCTTCCCTTTTTTTTTTTGCAGACGCTACTAAACCATTCCTTGCATGTCTTTCTGCGAATGAAGGAGAATATTGGTAGCTCAGGGTTGACCCTGGTGGCTCTCTGAGCGTGATGGTTCTCTTGGACAGATGTTTCATTTCCCAAGCTAGGGTCACGTCAATTGATTCGGGGGCAAGGCCCACCGAGAAAGGTTCTGAACGTTTCGCACGGATTCTTGATTTCGCCAGGTTTTTAATTTTGCCTTGTGGCAACCATGCAATTCCGTCTCCATGCCCCCCCCCCCTCTCTCTCTGCTGCACCCCTCCCTTAAACCCACTGGTCTCTTGGCAGGTGCTGGAGAATTGGGGACGATGGGGGTGGGGGTCTTCTCCCAAGCAAGAAGGGGCTTCCGAAGCAGGACAGGCAAGCTCGCTCTCTCGAACACGGCTGCACATTCCCGTTCCTCGCACCGTGCATAGTTTCTCACCCACACATTCCCTCTCCCCCAGAACGGAGCTAATGTACAAAATGCTCAAGCCACTCCGCACACACTTTCTCCTACGCAATGCCTCCCATGGCATCCCCCCTCCCCAACCCCATTGCACGGAGCCCTCCTCCTCCTCCTCTCTGGCACAGATGTTGAGAAGAAGGCAGCTGTCATGGATCTGGGATCTATGCGCCGCCTGACGATGTTTTTCCTTCCAGTCCGGTCGGGCGGTGGGGTAGGATGGGGTCCAGCAAGCAAGCAAGGAAGGAAGGAGGCAAGCAAGGAAGGCAGGGCAAACGTTTTGCAAATGTTTATTCCGGTGGACAGGTGCCATTTCCAGCACCTGGGTCAGGAGGTGTGAAGAAGTCACTTGCATGTACCAATCTGTGTGCCCACTCACCCCCCCCACCCCCCCTGCAAAGGAATTCTTTCACCTTCCTTGGAAATTCAATTTCACATTTTGCAAAGGTGTTTTGACAGAATAACAAGAGTGGGAAGGGGCCTTGAAGGTCTTCTAGTTCAACCAGTGATGGGTAACCTTTTTGCCATCGCGTGCCAAAGGCGGGGGTCGCGTGCTCATACCCATTATTCTATGCGCCCCACCCCTGCACATGCGACACCCACCCACCCCGCTTTTGGCGCACGATGGCACGGTAGGCCCATTTTTTGTCCTCCCCAGGCACCAGAGGTTTTCTAGGAGCCTGGGTAGGGCCAAAACGGCCTACCGGAGGCCCTCTGGGGAGGTGGGGAAGGCTGTTTTCGCCCTCCCCAGGCTCCTAAAAAGCCTCCGGAGCCTGGGGAGAGCAAAAAACAGGTCTTCCCCACCCACTCCCAGGCCCTCCGGAGGCAGGAAACAGCCTGTTTCTCTACTTCCGGTGGGCCCAGAAGGCCCGAAAATCAGCCGGTTGGCGTGCAGGTGAGCTCGCGTGCTCCCTGATATGGCTCTGGTTCGCCATCACGGCCCTATTCCATTCTGGACAAATGGCTGCCCAATCTCTTCTTTAAAAAACCTCCAGGGTTGTTGATGACGAAGAAGGTGTGAAATTCTGCTCGACTTTCACTTTGGTGGAGATGCAAAGGCCTACGTAAGGGTGAATGGGATATATTTAGATATAGCAATAGACTTCTATATACCGCTCGCTTCATAGCACTTTATAGCTCTCTCTAAGCGGTTTACAGAGTCAGCATTATTGCCCCTAACAATTTGGGTCCTCATTTTACCCACCTCGGAAAGATGGAAGGCTGAGCCAACCTTGACTCGTCAGGATCGAACTCCTAGCATTGGGCAGAGTTAGACTGCAATATCAATAGCACTTAGACTTATATGCCGCTTTACAGTGCTTTACAGCCCTCCCTAAGCAATTTACAGAGTCAGCATATGCTGATATGCAGTAAAACACCCAAGTACATTACTTTGATGCAGAAAGCATCAAAGAGCCTTGGTGGCGCAGCAGACTAAAGCGCTGTTAAGTAACACCAGCTGCCTGCAATTACTGCAAGTTCAAATCTCACCAGGCTCAAGGTTGACTCAGCCTTCCATCCTTTCGAGGTAGGCAAAATGAGGACCCTGGTTGTGGGGGCAATAAGCTGACTTTGTATAAAAAAAGAACACCGCTTAGGGGGGGCCAAAAGCCCTACTAAGCAGGTATATACAAAAGTATGAAGGCTATTGCTCAACGCATTGTCAGCCGCCCTGAGTCTCCAGAGAAGGGCAGCATATAAATCGAACCAATAAATAAATAAATAAATAAATAAATAAATAAATAAATAAATAAATAAATAAATAAGGGAAAAACTTATGGCAAGCGAACAGAACATCAATACATTTAAGAACAGGGCCCCAAAAAGTCATTTGGTGCTGGGTGATACCGGTGGGTGCCTGCGATGCACTCAGAGTAGGTACCCCAATTATTATTTTATTAAATTTATTTGCCCTCTAGCTTGCCGTGGGGTTAGTCTGGAGCGGCTTACAACAATAAAAAGGAAAAAAAATGTGAAGAACAGAAGCAAGATAATAGAACGATAAAATAAATAATGAAAGAGAGCACAACGAGAAAGACAGCTATGTGATTACCAAAAAAGTAAGAAAGGTGGACAGGTAGAGAACAGCAAAGTGAGGGGGGGGAGAATCTGCGGTCAATCCAAATTGTGGAAGGAAAACTGACTCGACAACGAAGAAAAAGAGAAAAGGGGAGGGGGCTTACCTTGATGGAGCAGGAGAGCTGCAAGTAGAGAAAGAGAGAGAGAGAGAAAGAGAGAGAGAGAGAGAGAAAAAATTATGCAATTAGCATAATTGCATAATAATTAGCATAAGGTAGCACCAAAGCTTGAGACCCTAAGTTGGGTGGGGACCCCTATCAAAGGAACCCTTCATCACATAGTCCTCGACTTAGAACCATTCGTTTAACGACTGTTTGAAGTCACAAAGGCACTGAGAAAAGGAGCTTATGATCGGTCCTTGCGCTTACGACGGTCGCAGCATGGGTGCACTTCAGCTCTCAGAATTCCCTAGCCAGCATGCTTTAAGATGCGTGAACTTCAATTCCCAGAATTCCCCAGTCAGCATGCTTTAAGATGGGTGGACTTTGACTCCCAGAATTCCCCAGCCAGCATGCTTTACGATGGGTGGACTTCGACTCCCAGAATTCCCCAGCCAGCATGCTTTAAGATGGGTGGACTTCGACTCCCAGAATTCCCCAGCCAGCATGCTTTAAGATGGGTGGACTTCGACTCCCAGAATTCCCCAGCCAGTCTGCTTTAAGATGGGTGGACTTCGACTCCCAGAATTCCCCAGTCAGCATGCTTTAAAATGGGTGGACTTCGACTCCCAGAATTCCCCAGTCAGCATGCTTTAAGATGGGTGGACTTCGACTCCCAGAATTCCCCAGTCAGCATGCTTTAAGATGGGTGGACTTCGACTCCCAGAATTCCCCAGCCAGCATGTTTTAAGATGGTGGACTTCGACTCCCAGAATTCCCCAGCCAGCATGCTTTAAGATGGGTGGACTTCGACTCCCAGAATTCCCCAGCCAGCATGTTTTAGATGGGTGGACTTCGACTCCCAGAATTCCCCAGCCAGCATGCTTTACGATGGGTGGACTTCGACTCCCAGAATTCCCCAGTCACATAGGTTAAGATGGGTGGATTTCCCCAGCCGTCCAGCCCTAACCCCATATTACCACCTCCATAGGGCCTCCTGCCCTAGAGGGGGTGTCCTCCTCCTGCCACCCCACGTACCAGAGATTCCTCTTTTCAACCAACGGGGTTGGCCCAGTTCAATGAAGAAACTGTCTTTTTTCTCATATTCTTCGACGTCCACAATCTTCACGTGAAGCGATTTTCTGTGCGAAGCGAAGAAGAGAGAAGAAACAAGGTGAAATGCATTAAAGGGGAAAGGACTTTATCAGCCTTAGAAGATCCTAGGAGGCATCGGAAAAGCTGCTGTAGTAGATCCCTCCCTAAGCGGGTCGATTAACGGATCTGACTTTTATCCTGCCTTTATTATGGTTTCTGAAGAGCACAAGGTAGTGGGCATACTTACCTTCCTCCTTCTATTTTTCCCACAACAACAACCCTGTGAGGTAGGTTGAACTGAGAAAGGGATTGACAGTCACCTAGCCATCTTGCATGCCTATGGTGGGATTAGAACTCGCTGTCTCCTGGTGATTGGCCCAAAGTCACCAATTGGCTTTCATGCCTAAGGCAGGACTAGAACTCCCAGTCTCCTGGGGATTGGCCCAAAGTCACCAGCCAGCTTTTATGCCTAAGGCAGGACTAGAACTCACTGTCTCCTGGTGATTGGCCCAAAGTCACCAGCCAGCTTTTATGCCTAAAACGGGACTAGAACTCACTGTCTCCTGGTGATTGGCCCAAAGTCACCAGCCAGCTTTTATGCCTAAGGCAGGACTAGAACTCACTGTCTCCTGGTGATTGGCCCAAAGTCACCAGCCAGCTTTTATGCCTAAAACGGGACTAGAATTCACCGTCTCCTAGTAATTGGCCTATAGTCATCCAACTGACTGGAGGATATGAAAGGAGCCTCCCTGAAAATTGCAGTACCTTTGACAACCAAGCATTCCCTGGTTGTCACCAGCATATCCTTCCAAACCAGAAGCACCTTTTGGTTAGCTTTATAGGTGCTTCTGACCCAAATATAGACAGACCCAACTGGCTTTCATGGCTAAGATGGAACTAGAACTCACTGTCTCCTGGTGATTGGCCCAAAGATACTTCCCTCCCAGCCAGTTTTCATGCTTAAATCGAAACTAGAACTCACTGTCTCCTGGTGATTGGCCCAAAGATACTTCCCTCCCAGCCAGTTTTCATGCTTAAACCGAAACTAGAACTCACTGTCTCCTGGTGATTGGCCCAAAGATACTTCCCTCCCAGCCAGTTTTCATGCTTAAACCGAAACTAGAACTCACTGTCTCCTGGTGATTGGCCCAAAGATACTTCCCTCCCAGCCAGTTTTCATGCTTAAACCGAAACTAGAACTCACTGTCTCCTGGTGATTGGCCCAAAGATACTTCCCCTCCCCAGCCGGCTTTCACGCCTAAGGCGGAACTAGAACTCACTGTCTCCTGGTGATTGGCCCAAAGATACTTCCCCTCCCCAGCCGGCTTTCACGGCTAAGGCGGAACTAGAACTCACTGTCTCCTGGTGATTGGCTCAAAGATACTTCCCCCCCCCAAGCTGGCTTTCACGGCTAAGGCGGAACTAGAACTCACTGTCTCCTGGAGATTGGCCCAAAGATATCTCCCAGCCAGTTTTCATGCCTAAAGCGGAACTGGAACTCACTGTCTCCTCGTGATTGGCCCAAAGGTATCTCCCCCCCGCCCCCGCAAGCCGGCTTTCATGGCTAAGGTGGAACTGGAACTCACTGTCTCCTGGTTCCTAAGTCAGCAGACCAAAATGACAACGATCAACATTCTGCAGCCACTAAGACCACAGGGACCCATGAGGGATACAGGCAGAGAGGAAGAGGAACGGATACGCTAGTAACCCTGGAAAGCTTGATCAACGGGTTGTCACCTCTCTTCATCCTTTCCCCCACTCCTAGGATTCTTCAATCTAAAAAAGGGCCCCTTGAGGTCATCGGGTCTAACCCCCCCTGCTCCAGGCAGGAATCAAGGCATTCTCGACAGCCCACACCGGCCCTGACGGAGAACGTCTCTGGGCTCCCCATAGGGAAGCAAGTGTCCCTGGCCAAAGCCCCCTTCGTGCACACTTTCCTTCTTCAAATTGCATCCCTTGAACGGAAGGGGATTTGGGCCTGGCACGGCGGCCTTTCAGAAAGGAAGGATTGGGCACCGCCTCCCACCGGCCCCCTCCCGGGCGCAGCACCGGGGAAGGGTTGCCATGGTAACAAGAGATTTTTGTTGTTGACATGAAGCGCTAAGAAATCAATGACTGACAAATGATCCGGGATGGGGGGGGGGGCTTTCTCTCTCTCTCCCCCGCCCACCTCCGAAAGGGAGTGGCTGATGGGTTGGGATTCAGAGAAAGAGCTCAAGTCCATCAGAGGATTGCGGGGGGGTGGGTGGGTGGTGCGGGGGGGATTCAGGCCAAAAAATAGAGAGGGGAAGCGCGACCGATTTTGATCGATTGGTTGATCGGTTTGGATTGACTGATGGGCTTGATCCCAGTTTAGCATCCCTGATCTTAATTGCAACTGGTCTCAACGTTTAGGAAAAGATGGTGCAACATGAGCAAGTCCCATACCTGCTCATCGGGTCCGTGCGCCCCTGCCCAGAATCTAAGCTCATTCTAAAATCGAGAAGTTGACAAACTACACAATTATAGAGTAGAGTAGAGTAGAGTAGAGTAGAGTAGAGTAGAGTAGAGTAGAGTAGAGTAGAGTAGAATAGAATTAAAACAATAATAGAAGAATAAAAGAAGAATAGAATAGAATGAGTAGAGTAGAGTAGAGTAGAGTAGAGTAGAGTAGAGTAGAGTAGAATAGAATTAAAACAATAATAGAAGAATAAAAGAAGAATAGAATAGAATAGAATAGAATAGAATAGAAAGAATAGAGTAGAGTAGAGTAGAATAGAATAGAATTAAAACAATAATAGAAGAATAAAAGAAATAGAATAGAATAGAAATAAAACAAGAATAGAATAGAATAGAATAGAATAGAATAGAATAGAATAGAATAGAATAGAAAGATAGAGTAGAGTAGAGTAGAGTAGAATAGAATAAAATAGAATTAAAACAATAATAGAAGAATAAAAGAAAAATAGAATAGAATAGAATTAAAACAAGAATAGAATAGAATAGAATAGAATAGAATAGAATAGAATAGAATAGAATAGAATAGAATAGAATCACAGAGTTGGAAGGGACCTTGGAGGTCTTCTAGTCCAACCCCCTGCCCAGGCAAGAAACCCTACAGCAGACAAATGGTTATCCAACATCTTCTTAAAAACTTCCAATGTTGGAGCATTCACAACTTCTGGTGGCAAGTTGTTCCACCGATTAATTGTTCTAACGGTCAGGAAATTTTCCTTAGTTCTAAGTTGCTTCTCTCCTTGGTTAGTTTCCACCCATTGATTCTTGTCTGCCCTCAGGTGCTTTGGAGAATAGCTTGACTCCCTCTTCTTTGGGGCAGCCCCTGAGATATTGGAAGACTGCTATCATGTCTCCCCTGGTCCTTCTTTTCATTAAAACTAGACATACCCAGTTCCTGCAACCGTTCTTCATAGGTTTTAGACTCCAGTCCCAATTATATCTATCGGATTTAAAACTGGTTTTAAACCACCTCTAGGAACATATATTGGGTATTCATGTAATGAAAAGAAGGACTAGGGGGGACGTGATAGCAGTCTTCCAGTATTTGAGGGGCTGCCACAAAAAAGAGGAGGTCAAATTATTTTCCAAAGCCCCTGAAGGCAAGACAAGGAACAATAATGGATGGAAACTAACCAAGAAGAGAAGCAACCTGGAATTAAGGAGAAACTGCCTAACGGTGAGGACAATTAATCAATGGAACAACTTGCCACTAGAAGTTGTGGCACTGGAAGTTTTGAACAAGAGATTGTCCGGAATGTTATGCTGTAGTCAACATATGACCATAATGGAGCTCAAAATTTATGTTGCTAAGTGAGACGTTTGTGAAGTGAGTTTTGCCCCATTTTACGATCTTTCTCACAACAGTTGCTAAGTAAAGCACTGAAGTTGGTAACACGGTTGTTAAGTGAATCTGGCTTGCCCATTGACTTTGCTTGTCAGAGGGCCACAAAAGGGGAACATGGGATTCCAGGAGGTTGCAACTGTCATAAATATGAGTCAGTTGCCAAGCATCTGAATTTTGATTTGAGTGGCCGTGGGGCTGCCGCAACGGTCATAAGTGTGAAAAATGGTCATAAGCTTTTTCACGCTGTTTTAATGTTGAACGGTCATTAAACAAACTGTTGTAAGTCAATGATTTCCGGGGGGGGTTGGACTAGAAGACCTCCAAGGTCCCTTCCGACTCTTGTTACCCTGTTATCTGTGGGCCAGATCCTTTAAGGAGACCCACAGAATCCAAACTGCCTTTTAATCTTTCCGCCTTTGGCTCCCACGGATTGAAAACCCCTCCGTGGCGCGGCCAGATCCATTAGCCGGGTTTCGCTGAATGCATTTGGGCCCAAAAAAATTCCTCTTTTTCGCCCTCGCACAGACACACCAGCACAAACAGAAAGTCGGAGCAGCTGTGAATATTTCATTCGGTGCTAAAAGATTTATTGCCAGCGGCCCAGCAACCCAATCTCAGCAACTGAAGCAGCGCATATGGGCCACCCCCTAGGCTAAATAGATGAGATAGATAGATGGATAGATAGATGATAGATAGATAGATAGATAGATAGATAGATAGATAGATAGATAGATAGATAGATAGATATAATAGAGAGAGATGATAGAAATGATAGAGAGAGATGATAGATGATAGAGATAGATAGATAGATAGATAGATAGATAGATAGATAGATAGATAGATAGATAAATAGATAGATAGATAGATAGATATAATAGAGAGAGATGATAGAAATGATAGAGAGAGATGATAGATGATAGAGATAGATAGATAGATAGATAGATAGATAGATAGATAGATAGATAGATAGATAGATATGATGGAGAGAGATGATAGAAATGATAGATAGATATGATGGAGAGAGATGATAGAAATGATAGAGAGAGATGATAGATGATAGATAGATAGATAGATAGATAGATAGATAGATAGATAGATAGATAGATATGATGGAGAGAGATGATAGAAATGATAGAGAGAGATGATAGATGATAGATAGATAGATAGATAGATAGATAGATATAATAGAGAGAGATGATAGAAATG